CAGAGGGGCCTTGGATGAAGTTAAATCACACAGCTTTTCATGTTTTTGTTAATTGGTGGCTGCGGTTGAAGTAACAACCTGTTTTCCTTGATCTGACAGAGAGAGAGAGAGAGATATGGAGAGAGAGAGAGATATGGAGAGATGGATTCTGGTAATGTGTTGTCTTATTATGGCTGCTTGTTTGTGCTGCTGGAGAGGGGATAAAATTCAGTTGTGTGACCCCCTCAGTTCTTTCCTACAATTCTGTTAATGCATTTCGCTCCATAGGGACAAGGTGAGGGAGGTGAGAAAAAACATGATTCTCCTTTCTCTCCGTTCCCAGCTTTTGGCTCAATCTCAGTTGCTCCTCGCCCTTCATCTCAGCCTCTCCTCTCTGAGCTCAAATTCGTTCTGATCACCGGGCTATGGGGCTTGAAACTGGGCTCCCTGGGGTGCAGGTGACCCCACAGTTCAAACACTGTCAGTCAGCCTATTTCCATTCACTTCTTTCATCCCCTTTAAACCTCCCCCCCCCCCGCAAACCCAACCACTCACACATATAAACACACAAACACACACCTGTCTTTGTGCTGTGCTCCTCTTCCCGCTCTCAGCCAGGCAATGAAGCTTATCAGATGGAGGTTTTCTGCTAAAGTCTGTCCTTGTCAGCTCTCATGTCGTCTCTGTGACAACAGTCGGTGGTTTCACGAGTAGAAGAAAAAAAAAAATCCAAAAATATATGGGAGAATAATAGAGAGTGATACTGGAAGGGAAAAAAAAAGAGAAGGAATCAATGTGTGACTGATTTTTGCGTGTCTGCTGGTTTTTGCCATGAGTGAGTGGGTGTTTCTGTCAGGCGAACAATTGCAAGAGCAGATGGACTGTTGAAATACATTCTCGTATTAATTTCATATCATATGTCTTATTAATTTGTCCACTGATTAAATGGTTTCTGCATCCTGTTTAATTTGAGGAGTTGAAGGATTTGGCCCGCTAAGGCTAATAATCAGCCATTAAATCTTCATTATATTTCACTCTGACTGTTATTTATTTTTGCAATTATTTCTCCTATCATTTTTTTTCACGAGCTAAATTTATTCATGACAGATCACTGAAACATGATACATACCCATAAATAAACAATCTGCATGCATAACGTTTGCGGTATTTGCACATCATGTATATGCCAATGTTATGAGTTGGGTTACACGCATGATTTATTGTGAGCCACAAATCAAAAGTGCTTATTGTTGTTTTGAGGCGTCACGCTGGAAGGTGGAGTGAAAATTCATCCCTGAGAGCAGAGAGAGATGTTGTTAAACTGTGTGGTTAATGGCACCCATTTTTAGACTGGAGAGCATTCATAGTGCTGCAATCACATGTTTAGGATTAACTATGTGTCATAATAATTGAGCAAAATCTGCAAAGAATCAAACAGTAACAAACAAATTGAAAGTGAATGAGAATGAATTGATTTAATTGGAGGCAGAGCTTGCAATGAAATTACACAAGAGCACTACATTTGATTACAATATTCTCATCTTTCTTTGACTGATCAGGAATTCTCTTCTGCAGTCTTTTTTTTTTTGTCAGTTTTGCTGCCTAATTCTTCAGTTTAGTGTCTCAGCTTTGACACAGACATCTCGTGTGGGCGGGTGTTACAGTGTTGTGTCTCCATTGGTCAGTTACGTTTGGACTGACAGGTTATGGAAAATGCAACAAGTGGTGAGACTTTCAATATTTCCCCACCTACTTCTTATCTCTGAGCCAGCTTTCATAGTACAAGGTAAGAGTCTTAATAATTTGTCTAAGATCATTATTTCTAGCAACTGGCCACTGGCTAAGCTGAGACTCAGTATCCACGTTACGTCTATGCACTGTCAGCCACAACATTAAAACCAGGTGGCAGGTGAAATGAATAGCATTGATTATCTTGTTACAATGGCAGCTGTCAAGAGGTTGGATATATTAAGCAGCAAGTGTGCAGCCAGTTCTTGAAGCTGATGTGTTGCAAGCAGGAAAAATTGTCAGTATCTGAGCGACTCTGACAAGGGACAAATGGTGACGGCTGGATGGCTGGGTCAGAGCTGCTGTGTGGTGTTCCCAGTATGCACTGGTAACTACCCACCAAAAGTGGTCCAAGAAGGACAACTGGTGAACCGGAAACAGGGTCACGGGTGCCCAAGATTCACTGATGCATGCGAGGAACGAAGGCTGGCCTGTGTGGGTGGATCGAACAGAAGAGCTACTGTAGCACAAATATCTGAAAACCTTAAAAGTGGCTGTGACAGAAAGATGTCAGGACACACAGAGCATCACAGCTTGCTGCATATGGGGCTGTGTGGCTGCAGACTGGTCAGAGTGCTCATGCTGACTCGTTTTCTCTGCTGAATGCGCCTACAAAGGGCATGTGAGCATCTGAACTGGACCATGGAGCAATGAATGAAACAGGCCCGGTCCAATGAATCATGTGGGGAAGAGATGGCAGCAGGATGAACTATGGGAGGAAGGCAAGCCAACGGAAGCAGTGTGATGCTCGAGGCAACAGTCTGCTGGGAAAGCTTGGCTCCTGGCATTCATGTGGATGTTAGTTTGACACGTATCTCCTACCTAAGTATCGTTGCACATCATGTCCCTTCGTGGAAACTGTATTTCCTGACAGCAGTGGCCTCTTACAGCAGGTTAATGCTCACTGACGCTCTGCAAATACGGTTCAGAAATGGTTTGAGGAAGATGACAAATAGTTCAAGGTGTTGACTTAACCTCCCAATTCCCTAGATCTCAATCCAATCTAGTGGGATGTGCCGGAGAAATAAGTCCCATTCAATGAGGCTCCACCTCACAACTTACAGGACTTTAAGGATGTGCTGCTAACTATCCTTACCACAGGATTTAGTGCAGTTTGTGCGTTGATGAGCCAGAGTTTTTGTTTTAGCGACAGAAGCCGGTGGTATTGATGTTGTTGCTGATCAGTAAACGTGAACACACTTTTTATATTTGCTTTTGCTCTTGACTTTATAATAAGCTAGTCAGATGTGATTTTTTTTTTCACCTTTACAGTTATTCAATCGGAGCTCTGGTGCCATTTTTGTGTTTTAAAACAAACCTGTTGCCACACAAGCTTCAGTGCCGTCAATGAATTGTCAATCTTCTCGAATCTCAAAATGAGAGTGATGCTTTTTCATGGATCTAAACATGATCCACAAAGGCCGTTAGAGGGAGACTATATAATGTTTGCTAATCAGCAGGCAGCACGACCTCTCATTATGATAATTATGGAAAATGGTAAATATTGCACAATATGTCATAAAGTCAGCAAACACAGTGTCTGTTACAGAGCAAATGAACTGATATTAGTCATCACCACCTATTCCTCATACCAGAACAAGTGTAGCTGCAGCAAGCAAGCAAGTTTCTTTATAAAGCACCCTATCACAGAGGTTATTCAAAGTGCTTTACAACATTTTTTTTAAAGAAAGTAATTAAAATAAAATTAATAAACTGAAATTATCAAAAACAGTTGGATGAAGTGCATACAGAATTACAGAATAATTAAACAAGTAGCAGCTAGACCTTGGAGTGTATTCTATTGAGCAGCTTTTATTGTTTGAATTCAAGTTTTCATTTTTCAGAGCAAGAATGTCTTCTTTCAAAAGTTATGTAGCGTCACTGTGAGGTGTAATCATAGATTTGACAGAATTCAGAATAAGAAAATGCAGGTAATTGTAGATAGTAATAGGAAAATGATCCTACAATGAGGCCTTACAGTGTGTGTGCATGTGTGTGTCTGTTTGCGTGGCTGCAGCTTGTAGAGTTCATACCTGCAGAACAGCTACATGTTGCCGTGGTGACCGGAGTACTTTTAATGTGCAGGTGGGACAAGAGCAGATCCAGGAGCAGATGGACCAAAGAGGAAATTTTTCCTTAGAGCTCACAAACTATGTGCAACATAAATACCTTCCTGCACACGACACACTGTTTGGTGTCTATCTCTGTCTCATGCACACATACAGTTTTCACACCTGGTCTCCGCCACAGATCACCAGAGCAGACTATCCCCACTGCTCTTAACCTTTACGCTGTTTTTATCTTTACACTCTCTGTGTCCTTTTCCCTCCCTGCGCTCTGATTCCAAGATCCACAGAGGATTTAAGTTTCAAATAACGGAGAGGAGAGGAGAGGAGAGGAGAGGAGAGGAGAG